CGGTCCCCTACACGACTTTGAGGCCAGTGTCAGCCCGTCCCCAACCAATACAAAAATGAAACAGATTACCGTAAATGCATGAGATCTAACATTTCAGATGCCCACTTGGTTTTTCTTTGCATGTTTTTGTGAAGGGTGCCACCAGTGGAGCAGAACTTTCCCACCGGTTCGTGAACGCCTGGTATCATCCGTATTTAATAGTAAACTCCCTCTTATCATGTATTCGGGATATGACGAAATCGGGATCTTAATCTTTGACTTTTTTGAGTGAGTGAGTGAGCGGGTGAGTGAGTGAGTGAGTGTTGCAACTATTTGCGACGAGATACTCTAAGGAATCGAATGACATGTATTTCAGGGGTTTGTACAGATGCCGAAAATGATATACAAGTATTTGTTTACAGGGGATGGGTATTCTTTCTCTGACAGATGGACATATCACAAATTCCCTCAGACAGATGGCCATTAAAAAGAGCACATATCGGGGGAAGTAACTTGGATATTCAAATATCGGTCAGACTTTCACGTACTATCAAGTAGCACATCGGAATATCATTTGTATCGACCTGTCAATCATAACTCCATTCTTCCTTGTCAACAAGATGTGGTTATGAATACACATATATCGTAAGGGGGCTTGTATGGTAGACATGTAGAGGACTTGTTCAACCCCGACACTGTTACAAAGATGATGGTCCATGCAATTCCCTGTTTTCACATGTGTGAACGTATGTTTTTCAGCTGGACAATTGACTTGCCTGTGCGTGTGTTTGTGACGGGGCCAGCAGTGGGACGAGACAAGGGCACCTTTCCGCAGCCACCTTGTATCACTACTGTTTGATAACGATCGTGAGCACTAACAAGCTGAAGATATTGTCAAACATTCAGCATATAGTTAAGTTGTTGTGCTGTATGACAAGTTTGCCCCAGCTTACAAGAGACCCAGTGGCCCAAGATTCCGAAACTCTGCTCTAGAACTGCCGAGTTTTGAAAATATAAGTATTCGAGTTCAGACCTGGCAGACCATTGGTCGATAGAGTGAGTGAGTGTCGGGGGTAAAACCAGGGATTGGCTTCGCACATGTACCCACATGGAAATATAATCAGGTTCCTCGGAACGCAGGGCTGACGCTTTAACCACTAGGCTAACAGCCGCCAATTAATTTTAAAGTTATAAATCCTGAAAAAAACCATTATGACAAGGAAATTCTAATTTCCAAGTTTTTGCGACAGTAATGGGTGCTAACATTGCCCTGGAATCCACGAGGGAATCCACGGTGCAGGATGCACATGTGTCAGGCGGAAGCCAAATCCTCTAGTCGCAATAATCCAACCAGAAGAGGCAGACTCAAGCATCTAAAGCGGAGGGAATTTCGTGATGACGAAGTTGATTGGTAACTAAAAGCATTCAAAGACAATACTTGAACATTGTTAGGGGTAATGCTCACGGTGCTAGAATGTGACGGACACATGGACAGATTTCTTTCATTTCAGTTCAATGCCACATAAATCAAACACTGAATGAGTATAGGATGACATTGAACAATATCAATATGTTTTACACAAATTAATTACGTTTTGTTTGCGTTTGATTGTTTATAAGACTTTTCACTTATCTATCTTTAACTCTATAAACACTATACTTCGGGCACACAGACTAAAAATTTTAACATATGAACCGTTAATCTTTTTACACTAATTACAGAATATTAGTTTCCTGCTTCGAGTGTCATAGGGTTTCTCTACTTGTAAGTTTGTCTCTGATTATCTTATAATATGTTCTATTTTCAATTGAAACTATTTTAATTTTGTGATATTCTATAAAATAAATGAAGTGTACTAGCCTTTAGTCAGCACTCAAAGAATCCTTCAACATAGATTGCGCAGAAAGGAACCAGAAAGGGATGTTGGGGTAGAAAGGATCCATTACTGGCTTAAAACACTATCCCTGATAAGACAAAACTTGCTGTGATGGAGTAACCGTTCATGTGATCGATTGACTAAAGGCAAACGTATAGTTCTGTACCTTATGAATGGATTTTGAGGTCATTGCAATGTTTTGACTTTCCCGAAGGGGCAGGCTGACTTGTTTTACTCGAGTATTGAATTGCCGGTCAACACAACACATGGGATGGTGGCGGATCCCAGTTCTATCAAATGATGAATATTTCAGGGTGATTCCATTGGTCCCCGATGTCCTGTTTGTCAATAAATCCATTACTTTTTGGCTTAACAACGAAGAAGATTATCATACTGAACTTCCACAGCTCAAGCTCCTATCGCCTCCTTGAAACGAATGACAGTCTTGCCAAGGATAAATCCAAACTGAAAAACCCCAAGTTTAGCCTTGTCAAGTCCTATGTCAATGAAGTTTTCGTGACATTCGGGTTCGATTCGACTATAACGCAGAATTCCCAACCTGAAACGTGGCAACTAAAGGACAAACTCCAGAGTGTCCACATACAAGACCAAATTCAGGTAGAATACCAATATGGACTTTCGAAAATCTTGAGTTCAGGGTTGAATGCTCACTAAGAGGTGAAAGCCATAAATACCTGTAATGTACCCGTCCTTTCGAATTTAAACATTCAGGTATTGACATGCTCACACGCAGATACATGTCAAACACTGGATCCCTAGACCTTCTCTCTTCCCTCAGTCGCTTACATTAACCAAATACAATGGAATGGCGTGGCTTGATTGGCATAGAGGTTCGTCATGACATGCACGTTTGCACACATATATTTCTCTGCAACTTGTTAAAACACAAGACGATGACAAGGCATTCTACAGTATTTTAAACGAGCCAAGGATGCCGGACAGTCTCAATGTATATTTGTTGCCGGCGTCGTACTGCTGAGCGGTACAGAAATGAGTGTCAACCATGCAAACAGACATATGAAATCCCCAAATCTTGGTCTTCAAGCAAAGACTATTTGTATGTAGTTCAAATGCAGTATGATGGGAAGAACAAAATTCTGGCTCCAAACGTAAACGTTCTGGCTCCAAACGTGAAACTGAAGACCTTCTGCTTGCTGTTCAGGACACCCGCAATTCCCACTCGACACACGCAATGTGCGACTTTGCATAATAACGCAAATATGAAATGTAGATTATGCTATGATTGTATTCAGTGTCTAACACATTGTCCAGCTTTGGCACAACGCACTACCTTAAGCGACTTGATTGCGTGGCTCGATCATTTTATTAGCATAGTATTCTCGTGTACAGTCTAAGACCTCGTCACTTTTAGAACTCAATTAAAATTATATAATTGAATTCCCCGTCCATTTTAATATTAAGATGATTGACAAGATTCAGGAAAACACGGCAAATATTGGTTCCTCGCTCATAAAATGTTACGCTATAATCTCATATACAAAGTTGTCCAACTTCTCATTGCCTAAGGTTTGGTTGCCTCAATGTCTTAACTCTGGACGGGTGCCCGGGTGCCCGGGTGTTCTGCCAGGAACACAGATATTCTGAAAGTTTAAAGTAAAAAACTGCAGTGTTGGATAGTTTTCATCTTCTCTGCAAAGTTCTTTGGGAGTTCACCTGGGTAGTACTTCCTGTGAAAAAGGGAGCTTGTCCTCCTTCGACGTCTTGGTTGCGTGTAAGAGGGAGCTTGGTCCTTGAGTTGATGACGAGTCTTGGTTGTACCAGGATCAGCCTAACACTCTTTTCTGCATTGGTATACTTTAACCTGTACAATTACGCTGATGTAGATGACGATGATAGGCTATAAATGTACCTTTATGTTTCAATTCCGGAAATCATCATCAAATAACTATACATATTGTCACAGTTAGGTTTAACTTAGTCTAACTGCTCGGATACGCCCCGTACGAACGTATACTAAGTTAAGGAATCCTTTTGATGTTCGAATTGAACACCAGACACATCTTTTCTCTATATAACGTAATGCCTATGATCCGACGCATACAAGATAGGAGATGTACGTGCATTGTAAAACACGTATAGAACATACCCCAGACATCAGGTATAAGATAAATTTCTCAGCGAATCATATTTCTTAGGAAAGTTTTCGAAGAGTATTGATGATCGCGCAATGTCGTATTGAGAAATAGCTTGAGTTGCATTACAGCCTTTAAATGTCAAGCATGGTCTGTACCCTCGTTTGTTTAAACATGTTGATAATAGTTATTTCACGTTCCTAAATTGCTTCCGTGACTTTGAGGTGTGACAATCTATCAAACGTGTCATATTCGAAATAGGAAGCGACTTGTTGCATGTTGTTATTAGCACACCGTTTCCAGGGTCACAGTATCCTGTCCAAGGTCAAACACTCCAGATAAGCCTATTTTCCAAATATATTATCCCGAAAAATCGTAAATGACAAAAAATGAAATTATTGATTAATCATAAACAATTGCATTTATACAGTTCTAAAACAAAGCATCAAATTTTCCAAAGATTAGGAACCACTCCGTTTCTTATTTGAATGAAACAATAGCTTGTTATTGAAGGACATGTTTACAAGACAAATGGAGATTCTATCCTTCAGAGACACTCCCAAGCTAGTTACGGAATCTTGCCGGCACTTTTACAATCTAATGAAAGTTTGTTTTGTTTGATTTTTTCATCGTTTTTGTCTTCGTGATTCTTGAATCATGAGATGGTGGAACATCCTGCCTGGCCTCAGCCGAGGCCCATACACTTACAATGAAATTAAGCGACCATCTTTGCTGCTCGCGTGCCCAGCTGATTGAACCGAAGGCGCAGTCAAAATTCATACACCGCTTGTCCGTGCAATAGCACGATCAATGATCATTTAGAACATGACGATAATTGGTAGAAACTTCAACTTGCTGGCTAAACATCGGCTGTTGGAAGGGTCTTGTGGACAAGGCTGACTACACTGCCGCGCGTGCACATTTGCATATTGATAGAATATGTGGGAGGTCCAAAAGTATTGTTTAAACTTTGCCCACATCCACTCATGGGTCACGTGACTTGTGGCATAAAAGACGCACCGTACCTAGTTTCTTCCATTGACTAACCCACAGTTCCGAGCGCACAGGGTATAACGGCCGTAGGAACAAACGCTAGACCACTACATACCAAGGATATTGAAAACAGGTAAGTGAACTATTTTATTCTGCAGCAGAAGTGTGGATATATGTACACGAGAAGAGAAGTTTATATCCGTTCCCCTTTGTGATACTTTCTGTTCCGACTTCATCAATAGGTTTTTACGAAGATTTGACGTGTGGTCAACAGCAGTTAGTTCAGTAGGTTTAAATGTCGTTACACGCAGTCATGATATAGACAAGGTTTAACGTGAGATTAATACTATACCAATTGTAGATATTATATTATTACTACATAACTACTATAAGTAAACAATTTTGGCGAGTCCCTTGAAATTTTACTTATCAGGTTTCAACTGTATCATATTTATGAGTAAAATTATTCAACACGGATTCTTTCATACAGCAATAAATACAATTAAAAATGCTGATGAAGACACAAATAGAAAATAGCAAACCCAAAACATTAACGAAATCTTCCTTTAAACCCAAATGTGTGAAAAAGCGACAAAACACTTTCCATATTCAGAAGAAATCCATTTGCCCGATTGTACGATTCCGACTCTATCAGAAAGTAAATTCTCTGAAACTTGTTTTCTTCAGTTCATGTATATATTGCTATTATTCGGGACCAATATAGACCCTCTTTAGTTTGACTAATATTTCAACATGTAAAACAATCTCTATCGACATGACCAAGACTCGTGTTAGCATGGATATAACATTAAAGCAGCTGACGATCATGTAAGGAAGACGGGTATCAATTACACAGCCACACAGGTCATGAATCAACTCTCACTTTTAATCCACAACCATTGATTCCTTCAGAACATGTGTAATTTAGCATCATGTGATAATTACACTGTGGAGATAAGACTGCCGTCTTGCAGGCTGTTCTTCTTAACATTTTAACCAGATTCCAGCAAATAGATAATAGCGTCACGCGAATTGTCCTCCTCGGTTTGTGTGAGCCCGTGAGAGGTGAGACAGCGGTGGTTTTCTGACGCCGCTGAGCTCTATATCAAACAATCGGTAGACACAGGGGTATAGTTGAATTAGTTTGAAGAGCGATGAAGTAAAGCGGCGAGAACGAGCTGGAAGTCTGAAAAAACCTTTATTGCACACACTGCATATTCAGTCAGTGGTCTGGTAACAAGACGCTGGAAATCTGGCATTTTAAAATAAAATTGAACAATGCTTGAATTAAAGATGCGACAGGTTGTATTAGGGAGGCCTTTGTCGGGATTCTGAATTTATTCCTGTTCTTTTAAACTAAAAGTATTTATCGCTTGTGCTGATTAAAACTTGGGTATATTTTCAGTATACATTTCAACATTATCTGGAACAACATGTAATGTATGTAATAAAACTTCTCCTGATTACTTCATAAACTATAATGAAAGAATGTTAACTTATGTTACTTATCACGTCAAAATAACAACATTGTACGTGTTCATACATATACTTCTCAAATCCAATTGGGCTTCAAATAAAGTAGATCCTGGCCTCCTTTATCGATGATTTCTATAACAAAAGGCAGTATAGGTACTTACAGAATATTTATACATGCACTATCAAATACACTAAATTGCCCTGTTGTCAAGGCTACACTGACGTATTAATAATATGCATACAATGATAATACGTCTAAGATAGCAGCAACTCGGAACAAAGCGGCATACAGACATAACAACAATAAACAAATGATTACACATTAAGAAACCTATTGCATCTGTTTATCAATACCGCGTCACAAACACAGCCAAAGGAAAGTCAAATGTTCAACTGAAGGAAACACTTATGGTACAACTTCAAATAAGGAATTTCACCAGTCATTATTTCATCACAGATGAGAAATATTTATGCTTATGTTAATTCAAGAGCTTTATGAGAATGTACGGAGGCCCAGGTGTCGAACGCACCACCATTCGCTGTGCAGACTTGTGTCCGTTAAGAAGTCATCCTAGGTTCGAAGTATGTTTCTCGGTTGGTCGTTGCCAAACGGCAAACCTTCTCGGTTTGTGGAGCGTCATAACACCTGGCGCCTGAATTTCCTCTGGCCTTTCTCCCACAAACTGTTCAAAGCAGTGTTACACTCACTCACTCTATATACCAGAATCTCGTACTTCCACGCGCTGTCGCAGGCACGATGGAAGAACGGTTATAGTGTGTGTAACAGATCAATCCCCAAGCTTTATATGTAACATAATCGAAACTTTTGTAAGTAAATAGTACCAGTTTACAACCATGTTTGTAATTAAACTACCTTCTTAAAACTACAATCACAGTTGAACAATATTTGTTCAGAATATTGTATAAAGTTTCTATACCAAAGAGTAAATACTGTTGGAACGGTAGGTGTGGACTGAATATACATTGATAGAAAAATGTCCCCATTCGTCGAAGGTAATCAAGATCAGGAAAATTACCCTCGAGATAACGAAGACGTTCAAATACTGATATTAATTTACAAGATAAAATGTATTGATAATCTATCCGACTAGCAACTAATTATATATCACCATACTTTTCATGACCTAAGTGAGCACTTGAGCAAATACTAAACATTCATTAAAATATAAATACATCTTGTCAGTATAAAACATGTGAGACTGCGTTTTCGCTCTTCATAGAATATGTGACTACATATTTTATGATATCAGCCTCAGAATATTTTACCAATTTCGCGAACACCTAGTGTCATTAGTGATTTTCAGAGATCCATTCATATACTTGTCCCCGCCATTGAACCTTTTCCAGATGATAATCGAGACTGTGGTTTTCTCTGGCTGAGACGTCTTCTGTTTACAAGGAAGTCTATGAATTGTTAACAAGGACTCCAGTAGGTGTAGGGTTTTTACTGAGAATATAGCGACTACTCTAGTCGAGCATCTGGCTTGTCTAGCGCTGTTCCAATAAATGCATCTCATCCTTCCGTAACCAGATGAGCATCATCACCATCCTCATCTTCCCAACTCACACCGCCATTACTGTCATGTTAATTACCGTTATAGCATTATAAACCGTCTTGCGCCCTAGACTCAGTCAAACCTACTTCCAGCGACATTACAGGGACCGGTGGCCCAAATATATGTTAGGGTGACGGCTTTCTGAAGCCAACAGTGTTTTACACAATGCGATCAGGGCCTTCTTTTGAATTAATTTTGACTGTTCACAATGAAATGATATGAAAAGCAACAAGGATATGACAAAATTATGCCTTGGCTATAAATAGTTATATATCAAGTTATAAAAAGTCAGGACGATAACCAGCCTCGGCTATCCGCTGAAATATTCTATTAAAGGAAAAGCGGTGAGAATTATATGAATGGATCACTTATAGCATGTTGTAACACCAGGTGTTCACAAAGAGGTAAGCATTACAGGTAGCACCTGCCATTTACGAAATGTCCATAGACAAAGTTGCCTGACCAGTCCGCCGGAAAGACGTAAATTGTACCATCGGACGGACACGTTTCTTCCTTTCTCTTTTAAGCAAACCTTCAAGAAAATAAGTGAGTGAGTTTAGTTTTACGCCGCACTCAGCAATATTCCAGCTATATGATGGCCTGTAAATAATGGAGTCTGGACCAGACAATCAAGTGACCAACAGCATGAGCATCGATCTGCGCAATTGGGAACCGATGTGTCAACCAAGCCAGCGAGCCTGACCACCCGATTACGTTCGTCGCCTCTTACGACAAGCATGGGTTACTGAAGATCAATTCTAACCCGGACCTTCACGGGTGTCCAGAAAATGAAATACTGTAAAGTTCATACGCCTATATAATATTTTTAGAACCTGTTCCAGGACAGTGTCTTGAAGCAACATATGGCACGAACCTATATCAAAGCATCGGGGGCGCGTTAAAATAATCAAGAATTCAGTTAACCCTTAAGGAGTCCTACCTTGAAGAAGACACATCATTTTGTTTCCAATGAAAGAAAACATTGTTACTTGTTTTAGCTTTCGTACGGCAGTGGACATTCCTTGTGTAGTTATAATAAGGAACAATAATGTTCACAAACGCGTCAGTGATGTAAGTACATGTTTAAGAACAAATAAATATAAGGAGCAGACCCAGTGAGTAAGTTTGGTTTTACATCGCATAAATCGTGTTTCATTTAGGTAAGGGAGGTAAGCCAATGCGATGCAGTTCCTAGACGGTTACCACTTTGCTGAACATGTAAAACATTTCGGTAAAACATTTAGACAAGAAACAGACAACGCCTTTGAGTGGCATTTTAGAAGATGGGAAGTATAATTTTGACTTCATGTCAAGCTTGACAGCGGTACAAAAATCTATATCGAAACTTCGCATTCACCAAAAAATAAGAAGTTGCTATCCATAAAGTCTGTAAATAAAGAAACAGGCCTCCCCTTGGGCACAAACTGTGTTCCATTTCTTGCGGATTTGTTCTGAATGAGTGTAAATCGGAAATTCTGCTCGGGGTGGCAAAATCAAAACTATGTAATTCTGGCAAGAAGTTTAACTTTAGCTGATATGATATCATCTAGTAACCAGCAAATAGACAATTCCCTTCCACTGATTTACCCACCTGACTTAAGGCGACAAGTGAGACCGCCAAAAGCAATTCAGACACCGCCAAAATTCCCTATTTTAACTTGAACCATAGGCTCCCAGTTTTTCCATGTGAACTACTGACTGCCTGTTTATGACAAGTGCCACGGGTTGGGGAGGATATACCTGGTATCATCACTGTTTGATAGTGATTCATAAACATCTGCCCTGTTACCTCATGATGTCAATCACTGGATTGTCTGGTCCAGACTCATTTGTTTACAGACCACCGTTATGCAGCTGTAATATTGCTGAATGCACCGTTACACAAACTGACTGACTGACTGACTGAGTTTAGTTTTACGCCGCTTTTAGCAATGTTCCAGCAATATCACGGCGGGGGACACCAGAAATGGGCTTCACTCATTGTACCCATGTGGGGATTCGAACCCGGGTCTTCGGCGTAACGAGCCAACGCTTTAACCACTGGGCTACCCCACCGCCCCCACAAACAAACAGACATATA